AGTTAATTTTTTAATTTTGATTCCTTCGCATAGTAATGCTAACAATATTTCGTTAATCTACCTACATCAAAAAGACTGACAATGCGCAAGATTTTAAAGTAATAAAATTTGTTAGGATTAGGGTTTGGATTAACTTTTAGGGTACTTGTTCAAAAAAAAAAACGGATTTTCACATTTGGATCATCAATAGTGATGCATGCGGGTCGGACTGATATCCTTAAAGGATTTAAATCCGATCCGAAAATCAAGATCGGATGGATCCATGTTTACAGCTATTTTCATCACTAGGAAGCTGAAAAAATCGCCTTCAACCTAATAGACAAGTTTCTGATGTCGGTAATTTATCGATTTGGTTATCAGATTTTTTATTTGTCCCAGGAATAATGAAAACAGCTGCAAATGTACACATGTCATCGGGCATCAATTATATTTTAAAATCTCTAACAAATCATAATTGAAATTGATAAAGGTTTTTTTCTCTTGGCGGCACTTACATAATCGATTGAATCTCTGTCGATATTCATTCAAATCAAAATTCTTGTTACAGTAGTTGAAATCCAGATATTTCAATTTTGACAAATTATACAATTAAAAATTCTAATATAACTATAATAATAATTCGTCTAACAAATAGGATTCGAGTCTCAAACATTACGATCACAATGATCTAACATCTATTTAGAACATTCTGTACTGGTTTACTACTATATTCAAGGAAATTATAAAAACATTCTATATAGTATATATAATATGGTTTAATTTAAAATATATATACTAAGTATTAGAAAGCTAAATGTACACTACACTTCAGATAAATTAACTTTAATTTATTAATAAATCAATTTTAGCTAAAAACTAATGAAACTACAAAAGATAGTTTAAAATTAGCAATATATATATATATGTACACTTCCCTGTCAAAAACCGTGACATAATTAACAATACATACCATTTTTTTAACTTCATTCAAATTTATATAGGGCCGTGTCTGGCATGTCAAGTTTATCATATAATGAATTTGTTTCAACTTTGTGTGGTGCCATATTCAATATAGTGCCAACAAACTTCTCAACCTTATCTACATCTTGACGACTCATTTCTATTATAGTCAAAATCTTTTTAATGCCAATTCTCAATTCTACCCCACCCTGTTTCAATGCATTAAGGGCTCGATTTCTCTCTTCGTCGTTAAATAATGCTAACTCTTTTAGAACAATATCAACCGAGCTCAATTCAGTAATATTGGGAACATAAATCTCGGAATTAAAACAATCAGACATATTCATATCGTCTAAAACTGATTTTTCATTTGTAGTAGCTAGAATTAAAAGACGACGGTCCTACATTAATGAAATTATTAAATATTAATTTTTCAGATGAAATACTATATGAAATACTATCTATAGTACACCAGTTAAGCATATACGATCACAAAAAAAAAAAAAAAAAAAAAAAAAAAAAAAAAAAAAAAAAAAAAAAAAAAAAAAAAAAAAAAAAAAAAAAAAAAAAAAAAAAAAAAAAACTCATTGATATTGTATACATTACTTTAGGCGGTCGTTTCTTGAGCAAAACTAATAATGTCTGCAAGATAGAATTCGAAAATCGAGGACCAATCGGAACCCAATCTATAAAAAGTAAAGATGTGAATAAATATCTGATGAGGTGCAGAAAATTACTAAAAATTAAAAATTGTTAATGCTTTAATAGAATGATCCTAATAATCTTCAAGACTATTTTACGCCATAACTAAATACACTGGAAATATCTATGAAGATCATTGGAATCAATCTAATACTGATAGATTGAACTAATTGGCAAAGAACATACCAAGGATTCTCTCAATATTATCAATGACAATTACACTTAAAGGTGATTTATAAGAGTCATTGAAAACCTTTTGAATAAATGTTTAACACGCTTTTAACTTTTAACAGTAAACTCAACAAACAATCGAATGATACAAAAAACATTAAAACTAGATTAAAACTAGTTGAAAACTAACCTTGTTAATCATGCTTATTTTTGATACTTCAGCATATCCTACCATAGATTCTGGTGAAATTAATTTGATGAATGGGAATTCCGATGACATTGCCATAGTTGCTGCAAGTGCTGTTTTACCACTACCAGGAGGACCTTTAAAACGAGATTACAAATGTGTTATTCGCATCGATCAATTGAATGTTAATGTTACAAAATATAGACAAAAATGATTAAATACCATGTAAGAGAACACTAACAAGAGGCGTTCGTGAACTTTTTCGAACTTGCTCTATAAATAATTGCCCATCTGATAAAATTCTCTACAGAATATAAAAAGAGAATAAACATAAATAGACATAATGGATGTAGAAATATGGAAATATTACTCTCTTACTTCTACATTATTAGCAAATTGAATAATTTGATTTTGGACACATTGTTGAAGTTCTTCATCATTCACACCAAAGGCGGGATGAACTTCATCTAATGCACTTAAAAAGTCCTCCCTATTGATCTTCATGTTATCCAGGTCAGAAGCTACACCAGCAACGGTCCCCACTTTAACATGCCTATTAAATGCGAATGAACTAGCACTCTTTACAAGTCCGGTTATCTCTGCACCACTAAAATTTTTTGTTAAGCTTGCAAGTTCATCTAAATCAACATCCGAATCCATTAAATCATTGTCTTTCATCTTCCTTATTGATAATATGAATATATGGTTAATAACATAAATCATTCACGAATTATTAAGACTGTATGTACACCCACCTTTGCTGTATGAATTTTCAATATTTGGAGTCTACCATGTTCATCTGGCAGTCCAATTTCCATATGCACTTCCAACCGACCTGTTTGAAGCGTAAAATTTTGATTAATCACTTGTAATGAGACAGAAAATGATGATAATCAATCAACCTTAAGAGCCTAAAACTTACCAGGACGTAATAACGCTTCATCAATAAGGTCATATCTGTTAGTCATACCGATTATGAGAATGTTATTCAACTGCTCTACACCATCCATCTGAATAACACATAAAAAGAATTAACGCACGTACGAACTCCACTAAAAAAAAAAATTATTGAATTTAACAAACCTTAGATAATAACTGGTTAACTATACTATCACCCACACCAGTTGAATCACTTCTGCCACCACGTTGTTTACAAATTGCATCTATTTCATCAAATATAATAATATGCAAATCCGACTCATCTCCTTTCTCTTTATATTCTTTTTCAGCATCTGCAAATAATTTACGAATATTTTCTTCGGATTGACCCACATATTTATTTAATATTTCAGGTCCACTGACTATCTTTGGTTCACGAGCATTGAGCATTTTGCCGATTTGTCGTGCCATCAACGTTTTACCCGTTCCAGGTGGTCCAAACAAAAGAATACCTAATTAAATTAAGTAAAGTTAATTCACCAAAAGGTATATACACTATTGATCATTACAGCATTAGTTTGCTATAAAGGTGAACAAACCTTTTACGTGCTGAATGCCAATTCTTTCAACTAAACTAGGTGGAAATATTCGTGAAGCGAATGCTCGTCGAAAGATAGCACTAAATTCGATATCTAGACCGCCTATTCCCATATCTTCAAATTTAAAATCAGGTTGAAGAATGGCAGTAGTCACCCTAAGAAACTTTATCATTAAGTGGAAATTGTTATAGAACATAAATATAATCAATTTTACAAATTAAACTTACTTTGAGGAAGGACCTTTTAATCTTATTGACGAATCAGAAGCCTTTAACCAATGAATTGCAGTTTGTTGCATTAAAATACCACGCGTAGTAGCACGTGGCCCTAGATATTTCAATATGAAAAGTCTTCGTTAATCGTTCGTTACAATAGTTAAAATAGTTTGTATTAAGCTACTTAATTAAATTATAATATAATCACCCTGATAATTAGCATGCTCAGTTCCGATCAACCCTTTTTGTAATTCTGCAAGGTCAACTACATATAGACCTTTAACAACAACTTGAAGATTTATTCCATGAAAATCAAACACTACTTGCTATAATAATTATTTGTCAAATTCTAGAGTCCATTCAAACTCAATCAACAAAAATGGATTGAAGAATGAAGTACCTGATTAGTACTAAATATTTGATTATTGAATGCCTATAGATTCGAAAAGAAAAATATATAAATGAATAAATTAATAAATGATTAAGAAAATAATAGAATATTACCTCATAAAATCTTTTTGACATCTCTTCAGTATCAAAATGTTCTTTGATCTCTGTAGTTTTTCTTGAAAAACTAACTTCTAGATCCAATCTTCCTAGATAAATATTGGGACTTTCGAGACTAGGATCATATGGCGCAATAGAAACCTCCTGCCCCACGGAAAGAGAGGCCCAACGTCGATGTGCCTGTGAAGCCCCGATTTGACGAGGAGGTTGACTATCCTCTGCTCTAAATGAAAATTTATGCAGATTTTAATACTTGAATTCTTGAGAAAGATTAAATTTTGAAGATTCATTTCATATTTATTACTGCTTTTATTTTACAGGAAAACAATTTGCTTATAATTTGCTTATACAAATGTGCTCTTTCCGCATACGTTGAATTAAACAGATCAGATAAAGAAAGGAATGCGAATATGTGTAATTAAGAGATTCTAATCGATCTATGACAAATACTTTATAGTAAAGACAAACTGTTCTTCAACAATAGCATATCTAACAGAAGGATGGAAATCTCTCGAGCTGACGACTAAAAAATTTTTCAGTGCAAGTATTTCGCTAGGGGATCTGCCAACCTTCACTCGAAACGTCTGAGGGGCTGCGGGGACAGTAGGTATTTGTTTAATAGGCTGACGGGAAGAAAATGGATCCATTGTGTCTTGCGTATAAATGCAAGTGATAAAATATTAACGTTAATCGGTTTATATAGCAGATAGGATTGATTAAAATTTTAAATCATCATGATGTGAGTTGTATGTACAGTACGTGCATATTCCGACATATGGGAAAGGAAAAAAAAATTTTTTGCTCTCGGTCGGGGAATTGAACCCCGGTCTCCCGCGTGACAGGCGGGGATACTAACCACTATACTAACCGAGACGTTCTTATTAGTCGTTGCTATTTTTTTGAAAATTTATAAATTATTTTTATGAATTTTTTATTATAATTCTCTGCAAATATAGTATTTGGGCTTTAATTCTGATTGGTCAATCATTAAATGTATCGCGAATTGATATTCAAAAACTATCTACATCTTTCACTTTATATACAGTAAAAATAATTCGGAGAACAGAAGTTAGTGAAGGGTGCACTCTTTGCTTTATAGGTTAGAGTAATTTGTAATGAGCAAGTAAATTGTACCTTTGCTAATAAAATATATATATATTTTTTAACTTGTTAATTTAAAAATAGCGTTTCAATCAATATTACTTATGACTAGTTTTTTTACTATTTTTTATTGAATATAGGTTATTCGACAAGGTTTTATAAGTTACAATATAGTTAAAATATAGAATATTTACGGAAATATACGATTACCTGCTACGTTTTGTAGTTAGTGTTTAGTTTTTTATGCTGTTTATACTCTTTATATGCATGTATGACACTTATTAATAGTCGCGATTCTTTTTATTTATATTATTTATTATTTATATTTAACCAGACATGTATTTGATAGTGATTCAAGTTTTAAAAATTATCGTTATAAATTAAAATTTATAATTTAGATAAACTTATTTTCTATTAGCCAATCAGGTTTTGTAATGTCACAAAAATTAACCATTCAGAATGAAGCCCGCCCTGCTATTATTTACACGATTATATATAAATACGTGTGATTTTTTTATTTTTCACTATTTAAAAAATTCAGGAAAAAAATGTGAGTGAGCATAAATTGTATTATGTCATCCTTTTCATAACGGGTATACACGTAGCTTAATTCTGCGATGTTTTTTCTTTTTTTTGGCTATAATGAAATTCGAAAGGTTGGCATGGCATTCTCGCAAAGTGCATCAAGTGCATAGGGTCTCTGCAAATGCTTCTGTCAGTGTTTTCTTGCTGATTCAAATTATTTAATGAGAGCCAATGGGCTGGAGCGATATTCTATAAAGTGAATTCACTAGTGCTTTCCCTTATTTAAGTCCAAAGAAGCAATATGCATCTACTAGTATTTTCTGATGGCAGGGCGGCCTCATTCCATTGTTTGTTGGTTAGGAGCATTTATTGGTTAGGGGTCATTTGATAAGCATTCTGGCTTTTATCATTGTTGTGGGGGTCTATAAGGTTGATTCAGGACAATCTATCGATGCGGGTCACAGTATTCAAAGCCCGAGGTATGCTTGACAGAGTTAGCCATTGATATAAGTGAACGAAATGAGTCATCGATGTATGATTTATGTCAGGATCAGTGTGTATTTCAGTCTTGTGCCAGGAACTGAGACTCGTTGGGAAGTCGGGCGTGGACCTTTGTCAAAGCCATGTGGGCCTGTGCATTGCTATTTATTTACAACTAGAAACATTGTCATGTAGGCTGTTTGCTGCTTGTAATTACTGTTCGAAGATAGTAGACAATCCTGTTGAGAGGCCATTGTAATGGATTAACTATCTAAAGATAATGTGATTTTAGGAAATTCTGTAATAATAAATATATATATATATTTTAATAGCCCAGCTCTTTTCTATTATGAGTCGTTATATGAGTCGGATATTTGTCGAGAAAATGCAAGTTAAATGAATTGGGTTCTTGTGAGAGAGAATGTGTGGAATTGACTCTTTTCAATGATCTTTTTATGTTAGTCGTTTGGTGGCTTTTTCTCGATTTTGCATGAATTTATGATTTCTCGTTGATTTCATTTACCGACCGATTCTTGAAACGTGTAACCGGGCCGAGTCGGGCACGTGTCATGTGTCCCTTGGATTTTGCATGAATTGATGCGGATAACTGTGCCGAGTCAAGCACGTGTTGTATATCCCCTGCCCAATGCTCCCTGTCTTTTCGATCTGTTGACCTTGTCAACATGCAAAATAGTAAAGAGCTATTATTGCAAAAAAAAGGATATACCCTACGTGTTAAAGCTAAATTAATAGCAAAACGCGTCTTGGCTGATGCACTTTTGCTATTTCGATGCACTCATGATTTAATGGGTCACAATAAATTTAGTAACGCCCCTTTTTTTTTCACCGTGAGAACGCACATGGTATATCACACAGTTCACACAGTTCACAGTTATTTCATGATCAATTTCCTAATTAGTAATCAAAATACATGATCACGGCTTATACGAATATACGATCATATGATCAAAATCGCGAAGTTATGAACGTGTCAATAAACAATACGAATCTATAAATACCTCCTTTTTTCTTTACTAATTTTGTTATCTCACCTCAACATGGTATCCATTACTATTTCCTATTATCGTTTCTATCTTTTACTATCCTTTGCTATCCTCTTACTTTTCTTGTGTTTTTATTATTTTTTTTTAGATAGTTTTTTGCCGTTGGTTCCGAGTGTCCTGTATCTTTCTTTTTGTTTTTCGTTATTAAAAAACATTATTCTCACAACTTTTATTTTATTTGTCATCGTTTTTTAGATTTTAGGTTTTGTTTTTTCTTTTGTTTTTTCCCTCCGTTTGGTTCCTAGTGTTCCCGTATCGTTTATTTTTGTTTTTTGTTTATTTAAAAATGTTGTTTATCGGTTTTTTTCCTGCTTTTAGACGGCCCAACCATGAGACACACCTCTACGTTGGTGGTTGGGACGAGTAGGGGAATTATTCTCTGAAACCAAGTGTCTCGTTTTTTTTTTTTTATTATTATATATTTAATTTCGATATTTTTTTTATTATGTATATAATTTTGTAAATTTTGTATTTATCAATAAATAAAAATAAAGTTATTAATAAAGTTATGAAAATAAATAAAATCTTATATTTGAAATCTATATATTTTTAAAACTCGTGCTGAAAATTGAATCTTATTATATAAATTTGTAATTTTGTATTTATCAATAATAAAAATTAATAAAGTTATTAATAAAATTATAAAAATAAATCTTATGGTTATACGAATTTTTAAAAAATTTTTTCTTTTTGCGATAACTTTATACAATTTAAATATAGAATAAATATATGAATCGCACCCCGCGATGCGCTTAGATATCGTCCGACCAATAAATATATACGCGTGATCAGGTAAACAATGATATTATTTTTTTTCATTGCGGCGTTGGTTAGCGTTAATACATGGGTACTGATTTTTTTAGATTACAGTTTGATTAGTAAGTACGTACGTACCAGTTCTTTATATCTTTGCATTTTCTATTAGCGGGTGCCAATCCTTTTTTTCCTTGTAGGTTTTGGGCATTCGTCGAACTAGAATCAGTAAAATTGGAACTTCCCAATGATAGGCACATTGAACCTAGAGTCGATTTATGATATATATTTAACATTTTATTTTAACATTTTTTTGTGGAACTTTAAGTAAGAACTGAGACTTTCTTCTCTTACGTAATGGTTCTTGCCTTGTGGATTTGGAAGTCAGACTGTACTCCGAGTTTGGACTGGGCACGTTGTGGTAAATACTTGTGTTTTTTTGCGCATACTTTTCATTGGAATACAAAAGATGCACTCTGATAAACCTGAAAAAATAATTTTGAAACTAGGCGTGGAATATGGTGATCAATATAAGATAGCGTCTAGAGAGCTGCTGATATGAATAATGCTAATAGTCTTTTTCGATTGAATATGAAATGTTTGAATGATTTTGAAATATGCTAATGATGTCGATTTGAAGGGGCATTACAACCTTGGGTTCTACAGTTGAGACAGCATGGATATAGTCAAAGACGAAGAACAGCAAACATGAACTCTCCTGAAACAAGCGATTGTGATGTGGATGTGCCGTAGCGCACAAATTTCCAAATGATGTAATCTGCTTTTTTTTCTGGCAATATTTTTTTTAATTGGAACTCAAAAATCACAATCAGAAATAGTATTATTAAACTATTGAATTTTATTATATTGATGTATAGAATTTTCGACTGTTGAAAAATCGGGCTGGAAATTGTTGTACAGCTATTTTCATAAATTCTGGACACCTAAAAAAATTGACCGATGATTATTTGGTCGAATTCGATAAGTCATTGGTTTCGATATGATTAGTGTTGTAATATATGGGGTCTTTGCCTTGAAAATGACCTTACGGGACTATGTAGATCTTATGAATAAAAATTAAAATTTCTAGCCATCCAATAATCCAATTCAAATAAACTTTTTTTTTATTTTGTAGAGCTTAGTGAGTTTTACAAAATAAAAAAAAGTTTATTTAAATTGGATTACTGGGTGGCTAGAAACTTTAATTTTTATCCATAAGATCTACATAGTCCCGTAAGGTCATTTTCAAGGCAAAGACCCCATATGTTATGCAATACCAAAATCAATAACTAATTGAATTTGACCAAATAATTATCGATTAATTTTTTAGATATCCCAGAACCAGAGTTGGCAAAATATTCATTGGCTCCATTCAGAGCTCAATTGGCCCCATTCACAGCTCTCCATTGAGCTCCGTTGCCAACCCTGCCCAGAACTTGTGAAAAAGTCGTAATTAATGGAAATCTCTTTTACAAAGGATTGTGCTAGGGTTGTTATAACTTACTTGACAACATACTTTACATGGTAATTACGGTAAGTTATCTGTAACTTATCTGGGCCAATATGTAAGTTACAATATAGGTATTAAAGTTGGCCAAATATGTGACAATTTCTACCAGCATTAACATCAACTTGGCTCAGTCTCAATGACTAAACAAATGAAATTAAAACCAAATCATAGTTAGTTAGAGATATGATCCAGGTCAGAAAATAATGACCGAACGGGTCAAGGTATTGACCCGGGTCAACGGGTCGTAGTTTTTTTTTTTCTTATAAACTAATGTAACGACACAAAATATAAATGAAGTAGCTGCGCGACGAAACCAGGAACGGATGATAAACTGTATAAACGCAAGATAACGTCTAGGGGCATTGTTTGAGTAATGGCCAGGATTAAACTTAATTCGATCAAAATTCGAAATTACACTTTGGGTGCTATTTCGTATTTAT